CATGGCTGCCTCTCACCCCACCCCAGCAGCGAGCAGCCCGGGGGGCACAAGGAGCTGGGAGGGAACCCGGCCGGGACAGCTGAGCCCAGCTGCCCAAGGGAGAGCCCACACCCTATGGCCTCACGCTCAGCACACGGAGCTGGGGGAAGGAGGAGGAAGGGGGGGACGTTGGGAGCGATGGCGTTTGGCTGCCCAAGGCACCGTGACGCGGGATGGAGCCCTGCTCTCCTGGGGATGGCTGAGCACCTGCCTGCCCATGGGAAGCACTGAATGGATCCCTTCTTTTGCTTTGCTCGCGTGCGCGGCTTTTGCTTTACCTCTTAAACTGTCTTTATCTCAACCCATGAGTTTTCTCACTTTTATCCTTACGATTCCCTCCCCCATCCCACCAGGGGGTAGTGAGTGAGCAGTGGTGTGGGGCTTAGTTGCCAGCTGTGGTTAAACCACGACACCCACAAATCGGGAAACCACCCACAGCAAAGTGAAATCCCATGTTTTCCACCGTAGTTGGGTAGTGAGTAATGCAGCTTTTTTAACTAGCAATTTAATTCCTCGAAAATGTAATGCTTGCTTCGTGCCAATATTGTTTTCAGAGCAAGCTAGGAAAATACTAGGAATGGCGAAAATAGCTACAGGACTTTTTCAAAAATACATAATTATATTTCATTCTAATTCCAGGTGAAGACCTTCTCAGGTTGACCTAGCAGGGGCTGGCTAAAGAACAACCTCCATCAGCATCAGAGAAAACACTGGTACACATTCAAGACAAACACAAGTCTTATTCTAACCAGAGTTGAGGCATTAGCCTCATTTTTGTACATGTGTATTATACATTTTGAAGAATGCTTTTCCTTCAGCTCACAAAAATTTGATTTACAGTCTGTAGACATCGGATGATGATGATCTTCATTCTAGTCCTGTTTGCCTTCCCGCCACTGTCGAGAACCTTCATTCCATGCTACATATACAAAGAGAGCAAGCACCACATGAACAGTAACTACAGCAACTATGGCAGCATAAAAATAGCTGTCTCTGTCGGACATTCCTAAGGTACCTGAGAAAATAAAGAAAGTAAAGAATTATTAGTTATTAGGAACACTGAAACAGCATATCACAATTCTTCCTAAAGACCAAAGTTACATTTGCTCCTGTATGAAAAGACTGAGCTCAGAAAGATTCATAGGAAAGAATTCACCATGATAATTACAGACCTTGAAACTATTTCTGGAACAAAGCAACACGACAATTATTAAATACTTAAGATAAAACACCCTGGTTTTGAAGTCAACAGCTTAGAGTTCTATAACATTCACTTTTTCCATTACTATCTTCCAGCACCAAATAAACCTCAACATCCTTTTTTTTTTTTAAGTGTAAATCTCTTTGTGGGGCAGGAAAATGGTGGAAGGGGGGATAATCATATAATTTATTTGCCACTATGACAGGATAAAATGGTAGAACAACAACTAAATTTAGAGGACTTCTACCTTCTATATTTAGACCGTAAAACAATAATTCCGCACCAGTTAAGATCACAGAGTCATAGAATCGTTTAGGTTGGAAAAGACCTTTAAGATCATCCAGTCCAACCATTAACCTACACTACCAAGTCCACACTAAACCAATTAAGGGTAGACTAGACTAAACCATGTCCCAAAGTGCTACGTCTACCCATTTTTTGAACGCTTCCAGGGATGGTGACTCCACCACCTCTCTGGGCAGCCTGTTCCAATGCTTGAACTACCCTTTCTGTGAAGTAATTTTTCCTAATATCCAACCTAAACCTCCCCTGGCGCAACTTGAGCCCATAAGAAACACAAATGCATCTCACGTGAAATAAGCCTTCAAATATCAGAAGACCAAATACCAAAATATCATTTCTCTTCATTCATTAAGAAAACCCCAAACCAAAAACCAACCAAACAAAAACCCACACATCACACCACACCAAAAATACCACCCTCCAAACACAAACCCAGTCCTATCAGTGCTGACAGATCTTGCCGTTAACTGACACAGCAAAGTTAAGGCTCAGCTTGCTACACCTCGGGTAGGGAAAAAAAAAAAAAAAAAAGCTAAAGAGGATCTTGAAAGTTACTTAACAAGCTTTCAGCTTCAGCCTTCAGAACTACATACAGCAGTATGTACCAGCAGAGAATCATCCTGGAACAACTCAGTTATATATTCACAAACTGCTCTTAAAAGCAGCTGCTTTCTCCCTCCCTCCTCCCTGCTTTTGAAGGAGATACTTTTCTCCTGCAGTATTAGGAAGTTAGTAAAGCCTTGCAGAACCAAGGCTAGAAGAAGGCTGGTTGTTAGCAGTTTGACAGAACTGCTCCACGCAAACAGCTAAAATCTCTCTCTTTTTTTCCTGTTAAAATTAAAAGAAAGCTCTAGAAGCAAACACATTTAATATCTGAAACTGGGTATACGACTTAACTGGTTTTCACTTACAAACGTAGGTATGTTTTAAAAAGCAAAATATAAACCCAGTAAACAACATAATTCTGTCTTGAACACACAAGTAGTTTGCAACACCTGCAAGAAACACATCCCTGGTGATAAAAGTCTGCTGCAAGGTGGTGTTAGATAGCCTTTAGGTAAGGGGAATGATGCACCTGTATACTATATGAACCACTGTATAACAAACAGCAAACATTAGATTGCAGACCACAATGCAGGGAAGGATGCATCGACCATTTATGTAATTTTCTGTTCTAATTAGACATTACAAGGCCTTTAATCTGCATAAGGAAAGAAATATTCAAAACAGGAAGGAGAACAAAGATGCTATTAGAGGATTGTGCTTTTCCTTTTTTTTTGTAATAGTAATGCTAATTGGCAGAAACAGAATTACCTTCAAATATATAAGCCTTTGATGAAAAATATAGCCCAACAGGTAATGTGATCATTAGAGCTGTGAAGAATAGAAGTGTTCTTAAAGTTGATGTTAATGAACCCTCATTTCTGAAATAAATAAGAAAAGTTACACACAGAAGAAAGTCACAATATATATATGCCTGAAACAGGACAAGAACCTGTCTCAAACAGCAGCCAGTTACTTTTCAAGAATTGAGTACATATATCATTTGGAAGCGATAACGACTTGGAGTATGTATTTGTTGGTTGCAACAAAAAAATCACATTATCCAGAACAATGTAATGATTCTGCCAGTCAAAGCTCACAAAGAAGATTTAGAACAGTCTTTAAATTTTTTCCTGTTATTGCTTTGCAAGCATTAACAACATAGGGGGTTTACATCACTGTGTTTATCAGTGTATTATTACATAATTATTAAATATCTAATATTAGAGACACACTTGTCATATGACAGTATTTCGCATTAAAACTTGCCAAGTTCCCTCTTTTTTTTTTTTTTTTTTCCTGAAAAAAATAACCACAAGTCTAGGCAAATGACAAATCCTACAGGCTAGGCTACAGAGGGAAGTAAGTAGAATGACTTTAACAGCTTACTATTGGAAGTGAAGTTCCTTTTTATTAGGTATTGTTCCTCTATTTAAAATAATTCCTCAGTTTCCACTGAGAAAGTTGGAGTAACTGTAGCAACAATCAGAACACGGAGCCAATACACCAGAACATGAGTGACTTTTTTTGCCTTCACAGACCTAAACCTCGAAGACCTTGAGCAAGAGAATCACAATGAAGGATTATGCACTTGGTAAGGTCTCCCTGAACTTGATCTGCTAGAACGGGTTTTGTGTCTACAAAACACCACACATGGCTTGTTTTTGTGTGCTCTTCCACCAGTTTTCACTCACTCCGCTTGGCTGACTACGTTATTTTATGCTGAAGTAAAGACGTAAGCCAAGCAACACCCTTCTGACTTTCAAAGGCTACCAGATTCAATGGCACGTGTCCTTATGGCTTTGAAACACAAATATGCATAAAAACCAACTCAAGTCAAGAATACGTAATTCTTAAAACTCCCAGGCACGATTTTTGTGTAAGTAGTTTCAAAAAGTTTTATCAAGATATATTTGTGCTGTAGTATATTCCTTGAAATCACATTTTATCCTTGACATATCTCTGGAAAAATAAGTGGAAGTGGGGGGGGAAAAAAAAAAATCTCATCCTCTGACAGCCATCAAATGACAGTGACGTGCAGCCACACGCAGCTTTTACACTAAAGCCAACTGCACTTTCTGCTGGTCATGTACTGCCATACATTCAGGCAGCATATCAATTAGCTTTTTAAAAAAAAAAGACATTCGGAATCTTTACCTTTACTAGAGTTTGTCTCAAGGTCTGTCAGTGTGGAAAACATAACCCCATTCCAACTTTCCCTATGGAAATTAAAAACTATTCTCTATTTAACACCTACCCAGAGAAGATGACCTCCAGCTTATTACCAAAGTTAAAAACGCCACTGCTGACAAATACTTTTCTTACACTGACATACGCTCACCACTCCCCTACGCAGCAAACCCAAATATTCGTGTATAAGCTCAGCCCTAACACGGGGCTCTCGGCTGCAGAGCAGCCTCCACGCCCGGGTTTCGGGGCTGCCCGGGGTTGCGCAGCACGGCCAAGGCAAACCCGGGGGCTCCTCCGGCTCCTCCTGGCCCGAGCTGTCGCCCCCCCGGCCTCGCCAATGGCGCGGGA